GCCCCCTCGGTGTTGGCCGGAGGGCCGTGCTCGCGAGGCGCCCGACGCTCTCCGGGCGCTCGCCTCGCCCTCGGCGCGTGGGAGGCGCTTCCCGCCTGTCCCTTTCCCGCTGGGTTGTGCGCGGGGCCCGATCCGAAGCGAAGGCTGCGCCACGGCGCCTCCGTGGAAATGCTTTCACGGGAGGCGCTCCTCCCCCCAAACAAGCCTGGGGCCGTGCAGGCAGGCCCGTAACCGAGGAGCCCGCCTCACGTGCCCGCCGTGCGCGCAGCGAAGCAGCCCCTGGGCTGGCGGTCCGCTTGGGATTCGCGCAAGGGGAAATGCGCTCAGCGCAGGGGAGAAGCGCGCACACGTCTCCCCTGGGCTGTTATCACGCCAGTTACTCCCCGCGCGTCGGGGCCGGCGATCGCCTTCAGGGAGCATTCACGTTCACGGGCGTGGCCTGGCCTGGGCTCGGTTCCCGCTGCTGATTGTCAGCTGTGTGCACCGCTGGAGGCGCGCGGGAGGGGGGGCTCAGATGGCTGGGGAGACTCGGAATAGCCGGCGGCCACGTCCCCAGCTTGGCCCGGTGTGCGGGAAACCCGGAGAGGGAGAGCCCTGTGGCACCCCCCCCCCCGCGCGCGACCGAGACATTTCCACTGCCTTGGCTTTTGGATCCGTGGCAGAGGCATGGTCCAAATCATACGCATTTTGCCCTGGGAAGACAAAGCATGAAGAATGCTAACGCACAAGACGCATCTCGCCCTGCGGTGAACCGTGGCCTGAAAGCGCTGCAGGACGCCGGCAAGGCGGGTCCCGGCAGTCGTCCGTAGCCGAGTTTTTAAAAAGCGGCCCAGCAGCACCTTGGCAGCCTCTGCGGGCCCAGCAGGAGCTCAGCCTCGGTGGGGGGGGGGAGCGGTCCGGGCTCGGCAGGGAGCTGCAGCGGACAGACCGTGGCAAGCGGGACTGAGGTCAGCCCGAGAAAGCCGCGCCAGGCAGGAGACCAGGCTGGGGGGGGGGGGCAAGGGGGGCGTGCAGTGAGACCTGGGGCTGTCCGCGCGTGCTCAGGCGGTGGCGCTTGGCGAGTCCTCCAATCAGAGGGGAGGTCAGGACAGGAAATCTGAGCCCGCGGTTGGCTTTGCCCAGCTTTGTGCTGGAGCCTGTGAGGTTAGTGCGTGGAAAATCGGCGGGGCGTTGAGACAGCCCCTGTGCCGCCGCCCTGCGGGGGTCCCCAGCACCTGCCCAGGGGCCCCGCGTGCGTGGCTGGCCTGCACGCGGGTGGCAGGTGCAGTGCCGTCACTGAGGGCGCCGGCGTTCGTGGGGCGGCCTCGCCGACCTGCAGCGGCGGAGTGTGGCAGGCTGGACTTCCTTGCCTTGGCGCTCGCTCGCCTTCAAGTGCCCGCACGGGCAGGGGGCAGCACGCAGCTCTGTGCGGGGCTTTGCACAGTCTCGCTTACATTCATGCGCGCACACACATGCCAAAGGAAAACGAACATCCTCTTCACACAAGCACAAGGAAAGCCCTGTGGACCAGACCGGAGGTCCATCCAGTCTAGCAGTCCATACCCACAGAGGCAAACCAGCTGCCCACAGGGTCCCCAAGCAGGCAGGATGTGTGCCAGGCTTCCTGCCCAAGCTCCTCAGTGACGGATGTGTACAGGATCCCACCTCTGGTAAAGGAGGGAGCACACGGCCAGCAAGGTCGGGAGGCAGGGATCTGCCCAATCCCTTTTAAAAGCCATCCGGAGTGGCAGCCATCCCCACTTCCATATGGCAGTGAATTCCATAATGTAATTATGTGTGAAGGAGCCCTTCCCTTTACCTGTCCTAAGCCCCCCGCCAAGCAGCTTCACCGGATGACCCAGTTTCCCGTGTTGCAGTCATGGGTCATAGCGCTATGCTCCAGTCCTTCATTTAAAAACCACGGCTAAATGGGCACAGTCCTTTGCGGTCGCCTGTCCGCTGTCGTTGGCTGTTTCAAGCAACTGCTGTAACAATGGCCAAGGCAACAGTCTCCCACCCCCGGTGGCCCCGACCACTTCGCATTTCAAGCCCGAAAGCTTTGGGACCAGAACACCGCTGCAGGCATCAGCATTTGCTTCCTGGGCTTTACTGCAGCAAACGAAACCTCTGGGGCAAGGGAGGGGTTTCTGCGGGGAGGGTGAGTTTTTCCCTGCACTGTGTTCCTGATTGAGGTGGAAAGACAAACAGAAAGAACAAAACAGCTGCCTTTTGTTAAGAAAGAGGTCGGGTCATTTGGCCCTTCAGCTATTTTGTTTTGAGCGGATGAAAGAGATTGTGTGACCCAACTGCACAAGCCCACACATCACCGCGTAGCTGCCAGGGTCTCTGCTACCCATTCCACGATGGACGTGGAAAGGCCCTTTCCTGCAATGCCCACGGGAGCCTCCCCTCGCCCTGCTGCCCCCAGCCAGGCCACCAGAGCAGGGGCCACGTGTGCCTGCAAGGGCTCCCGCGACGCTGTGCGCTCGGCACCCTCTCGCGCGTTCAAGGGCCGTTCTGCTGCGCGCACAGGCAAAGCAGGACTTGCTGGAGCCCTGGCGCAGAGCCAAACATCTGGCGCGTGGGTGTTTCCAGCAAGAGGGCTGGCCTCTTGGCCATCCGGCGCTTTTTCAGAGTCTCAGGAGAGAGAGGCATCTTTGCTGTTATGTCCATGGAATTGCTAGCTGCTCGGAAGAAGTGCGACGCCACTGCTCACTGGGAAAGCGCCTTCATTGTTCCTGTGATCCATGGAGCAGCTTGACTCTCTTCCAGTGGATTCCAGGTTGCTTTCTTGCAGAGACACTGGAATTGGCACCCTTTGTGGTCGCGCTCCAGCTTGCCTGAACTCGCAACACATCCTGCGAACACGCACCAGCACAACAGGGGCGAGGGTGACCAAGGCAAGCAGATGGGCTGTAAGCGATTGTGTTTTTGCCTACGCTTGTCAGGACAGACTCTTCCTGGAAGCACAGACTGGGAAAATCAACTCTGCAGTGGCAAGGGAATCTTTGGCCTCCTCCCACCCACAAAACCTTCCTAATGAACGCTCCTCCTTTCTTTTGGGGACAGGCACAAAGGAAATCCCGAGAGGGACAGTGAGAACAGTTCATGAGCAGCCCTAGACATGCAAGGAGACATTCAGCTGTGCTCCTGGCCCCCATGAGAAGCAGAGGCCCTGCCGATAACCCCCCGGGGACGGGTCTGCGGAAGGAGCAGGGTGCCCCTCCAGACAGCACCAGACGAGGCAAAATCCAGGAACAAGCCAGAAGTCGGAAAGGAAGTCAGTCAGAAGTCAAGGAAGGAATCCGCATCAAGGAGTGATCCAGCAAACAGGCTACGACAACAGCAGCAGCTGAGGCTGAAAGATGACGGCCAGGCTGGGGACCAAAGAGCAAGCAGAGTGCAGAAAGGGGTGCACCGAGGTTGGGGGACCCCACTGTCTGGGCAGGGCAGGGCAGGGCAGGGGTGCATCGCTGTTCCAGTCGAAGAGAGCCCCGTTTCTTTGCAAGCACCATGTGGTAATCCACATTCAGGGGCTGAGGACGGGCTGAGCTGTCGGGTTGTTGTTTTCTCTGTACCGCAACCCAAAAGTGGATTCAGACAACAGGATGACCCAGATTTCAACGAATCCCCACAGGAGGCCCACCTTCAAACCCTGGGTGTGTCGGAACCCAGCCGTTTCCTCCTTACACTGGAAATCCAGACTGCACCTTCTTTTGAAGGAACTTTCCAGACTGCTTTGGGAACCGTGGCAATCGGACATCATGGACAGCCAGCGAATCAGGGCAAAAGCGAGCTCTGTGGAAGCTCCTTCTTCAGTGGCAGGCAGTGGGGGCTTCTCTGTTGAAAGCCTGCCCAGGGGTGCCGCAGCGAGCTGCATGGGAGACGGTCTCGGGCAGAGAACCCCATGGAGCCCCGGCTGGACGGTGCACCGGCACCAGAAGTGAGCAGACGGAGGAGCCGAGCTCGCGGGAGGCCTGTGGGTTTGCACAGCTGCAGCGGGAGGGCTGAGCAGCTTCACAACATTGAGGGGGTCCACGAAGGGAGCAGGGGTGTGTGTTGCACTGTCGCAGAGTGCAGCCAGAAAGCCTTGTGCAGAGTTGTCTGGAATGCAAGAGAAATAATGAGAACCAGACGTTTGACTGTGAGAAGCTTCCTGGAGACGTGGGAGCTCATACGCGGCTTTTGTCCAGAGCTCCACTTCTTTTCAGGGTCTTTCGGGTCCAGAGCAAGTCACCCTGACCCCACTTTTTGGTTTGGGGCCTTGGAAAGGGGCTCTGCAGAAGGTCATCAATTAGTCAAGGCCCAAAATGGAGGACAAGGGCTCGGTCTCTAAAACCAGACTCCGTACAAAGGTGCTTTGTCTGCGTTCCCTCCTGCCAAGGCTGAGGTTAGGCCAGGCGTTTTGCCAGGACCACGGCTGCCCCCAGACCTCCTCCTCCGGCAAAGCTTGACTCAGCACCCCGTCTTGGGAGCCCGACCTGTGCTGGTGCCCCGGAAGGGCCGTTCTTGGCTGTGTCTCGATCCGGGGCCGCAGCCCGCGGTGGCACTGCAGGCACAGAGGACACTCCAGACCGGCAGAGCAGTGATTCCAAGGGGCCCAGGCAGCCTCCCTCTGGATAGCCTTCCAGGCTGACTGGGGCTCAGCGGGAGGAAGCAGTTCGGTCCCTGGGGATCTTTGCCACCACGGTGTCTTCTGCTCGTGGGCTTCGTCTGGTTGCTCTTGCACGCTCTCCACACGCCACATTTGCAGCTGTGCAAATGTGCAGCATCCTTGTGCAGCCAGACAAGCTCCAGCCAGCTGCCACAGCTCAGCCCCTCCCAGAGCCCGGAACAAAAGAGCCAAGTGCCCACTCAAAGCCCCTCCGCCGAGCAG